GACCCCGGGACCCTCGTCACTGCTGGTGGGTGTGAAGGGGCACGACCAGCCCCGTGGCAGGAACGAGGGATGGCACGCCTGCAGGCACCAGGACACGACCCCGCTGTCCACGTCAGCGCTGCCGTATCAGCCAAACCAGGAAATAACCCCAATATCCTCTAGAGGCAGAACAAAGAACTCCATTGTGACATGTTTACCGTGGATTATCATCCAGCCACGAAAACGAATGAGCTACAACCAGAGCCTCAGCCTGATGACTCCCAATAGCGTCGAGGGACGAAGCAAGACACACATGAATGCACGCGTTGTGATCCCGGCTCCTCTCTCTCTCAGCTCCAGGGGCCCTTCTGCTGCCGCCACAACTTGTTTCCTGAGCCCACGCCACCCAGCTGGCTCACTTTTCCTACCTGGGTGGCTTTCATCTTCTTCTTCTAAACGAATGAGCTACAACCAGAGCCTCAGCCTGACGACTCCCAATAGCGTCGAGGGGCGAAGCAAGACACGGGTGAATGAATGCACGCGCTGTGATCCCGGCTTCTCTCTCTCTCAGCTCCAAGGGCCCCTCTGCTGCCGCCATAACTTGTTTCCTGAGCCCTCGCCACCCAGCTGGCTCACTTTTCCTACCTGTGTGGCTTTTGTCTTCTTTTTAAAAAAATAAATGCGATTTTATTGATTTTTAGAGAGGAAAGGAGCAGGATAGAGAGATAGGAACATGAATGAAACTTCAATATAGATCAGCTGCCTTTTGCACACACACACACACACCCCGACACACACACTGGGGCTCGAGCCCATAACCTGGACATGTGCCCTGACTGGGAATCAAACCCTGACCTCCTGGTTCATAGGTCGACCCTCAACCACTGCACCACGCTGGCCAGGGACTCTGTGATTTTCTAAATAAACTTTCCCAGACAGGGCTGGGTTTCACAGATCAACATGGCCAAGCGGCTGGTGGTGCTGTGGTTCCTGGAGGGGGTAGGCCTGGGGGCCAGGGAAGGAAAACAGGAGGTCTTCAAGGCCCTGCACTCTGCACACTCGCTTAAATTACCTCCCTGCATTCAACCCTCGCCTTAGCTCTGAGACTTGTCATGTTGAACTGCTGAGATGAAATCCACGGGTAAACCTGTGTCCTGAGCCCACGCCACCCAGCTGGCTCACTTTTCCTACCTGGGTGGCTTTCATCTTCTTCTTCTTTTTTTTATAAATATGTTTTTATTGATTTTTAGATAGAAAAGGAGCAGGATAGATAGAAACATTAATGAAGGTTCAATATAGATCAGCTGCCTTTTGCACACACCCCCACTGGGGCTCGAGCCCATTACCTGGACATGTGCCCTGACTGGGAATCAAACCCTGACCTCCTGGTTCATAGGTCGACGCTCAACCACTGCACCACGCTGGCCAGGGACTCTGTGATTTTCTAAATAAACTTTCGCTCGTGTTTGGAAAAGAGAAAGACAATTATGATCGTAATGGTGGTGAGATGTTGCCCCAAGGAGGCCTCCGTGTGGGGCGTGCAGGAGGCAGCAGGGTGTTCTATTCGTGACCTGGGCGGTGTTACGTTGGCGATTCGTCCCTGAACGGCACCTGCCGCCTCTCTGCTCGTGAGAAAGCGGCTGGGACACAGAGAGGGCGGAGCGGGCAGCAAGGCCCACACCTACCACGCGGTGCAGGAACTTGTGGTCATAGGCGCTGATGGGCTTGCCGTCCAGCAGCACGCGGCCCCCCTCCAGGGGGTAGAAGTTCTCCAGGATGTGGACGCAGGAGCTCTTCCCGCTGCCCGAGGGCCCCACGAGCGCCGTCACCTTTCCTGGGCACAGGCTGAAGGAGACGTCCTGCAAGGAACACGTAGACATGGTGTGGGCCCTGGCTCAGGTGCTCGTGCCCCTTTGCCATGGCTGGGCACTGCTGGCTCCCGGGATGCTCTCCTTCCCAGGACCTGGCCACACTTTCATAGCTGTCTCCTCTTTCTGCAGAGAGCAACCTGGATTGGCTCCTGCGTCTTGTTCAGGTTGCAGCTCAAATGTCACCTCCTCCAAGAAGCCCTCCTTGACTGCTATGTTACCTCATCCCTGCATGACTCCTATCACACCACCCTTCTGCGAATGCTCAGTCCTTCCTGACTAGCGCCCAAACTGCACGGGCACAGGGCCTCTGCCTCGCGTACTCCTGGCTGCGATGCGGAGGCCCCGGAGGCCTGGTGTCGGGGAGGCCTGAGAGACGGGGTGCGGGAAAGGATGCCTGGGGCAGGCCTGCGCCTCTCCCCCCTCACCTGAAGGACTTTGGTGTGGGGCCGAGTGCGGTAGGTGAAGGTCACGTTCTCAAAGTCCACGCGGCCCTCCACGTGGTCGGGGGCCAAGTTCCCATCATGCACCATGGTTGGCTGCCGGTCGATGAACTCGAAGACCTTCTCGGCGGCCCCCACTCCTTGCATCAGGCCGCTATAGACAGAGCCCACGGACTGCGGGGCGAGGAGACATGTCCTGCCCACTGACCCCGCTCCGGGGACACCCCCGCCCCACCCACGGTGCCAGGAGATGAAGGGGGGCGAGAGAAGAG